GTGTGCATGTAGGCGTCCTGGACTGAATCAAAGCCTAAGTTGGAAAAGGATCCTCAAGGACGTGCTGCAAATCCTCATTTAGATAAATCCGACTTGGAGATGCTTTTCCGGGAGCACGTTAAAACGTTGTATGAGGTCAGCTGACGTTTTTGATATTTTACGTTGGTTATATTTTTTGCTTTAAGGTTATACTCTTGAAATGGCTAGCATTGTCTGAAGACTAGTAATCATTCGTTTGGTTTCCTGTATTCTTATCATCTAAGTGACATTTGGCATTAGTGTAGCAATCAGAATCTGAATTCATCTGTGAAAGCCTAAGTAGGGAAAAAATAACGTGTTCCCTAAATTGTTTCTTTTTGTAATCCTTAAATTATTAATAATTTATTAGATTTTTGTCAAAATTTCTGTAATATGAATATCCCATTTGGTTATACACAATAGTTATGTCCCTTAATCTTCTTATTTTCTTCCTCCAATAAAATAATGTATTGTCTCATAATACTCGAACTTATCATGAAATCCATATGGTGTATTTTCTATTATTGGTGTTTGTGGTTTGATTCCAGAGATGCATGGTGGAGTTTAAGGGTCTATTGGCAGATGTGATAACTGAGGCAGCAGCTCAAGAAACAGAAGGTAAAACTGTAATTACATCTTGGTCGACAGCCAAACAAGTCCTAAAGAATGATCCCAGATACAATAAAATGCCGAGAAAGGAAAGAGAGTCTCTGTGGCGTCGTCATGCTGAGGACATATTGCGAAAGCTCAAGAAATCGAGCCAAGTTGAAGTTGATGGTCGGAGAACTCATGCCAGATAGATAGATTATTTCTGTACTTTTTTGCTATATTTATTCTGAGATTCTCATTTATCTTAAAGAAGAAAATATGCAACTCAACATGCTAGCAATGCCGAACAATAAACAAGTAGTAAAATGTGATGTAGCTCTGGAATCGGTGGTCGTGTGCAGATTATATAACGCCCCGTTCGAATATTAGATTTTTCGGAGTTTATTTTAATTAATGGCATTTTATTTTATTATTTATATGCTTTGATTATGTGATTATATATTATATTATTATGTGGATAATATGATTATATAGCTCATTCGATTTTATTTTATCGATCGCCGTTTGAATTTTCGGTTTAATCGTGTAAGTCGAATTGTTGTTCGTTTTAATTCGTGTTCGAACCATTGCGACCCGAACTTCGAACCGATTCAACTAGCCTCTTAAGACCATTATAGTTTCAGCTCTTTAATAGTATTTTTTTCAGCCATCAAAACCAACCAAAAGAGTTTTATTTAGAGAAAATTCAAATTATAGTCGAATTCTTCGGTTTTCAGTTATAGATGCATTTTAAGTCTGAATTTGGTTCCGTAAAATTTATTTTTCCTCTCCTCTTTTATAGTAAACATCAAGACCATGTTTAGCATTATTTTTACAAGTTCAAAGTTGAGAAAAATCAGATTTTTGAGTGAAAATATCCAGATATTATAAGTAATGGAAATTTTAATTGTTTTTGCCAACTCAAACCATGTTACTCTTCATGTATTCACATGAATATGAATTTTAAGACTCCAAGATCATTTCTTCAGCATGTTGACCGAATTTATCAACCTAAGGTGCATTTAGCACATGACATTTAACTTTAGATCTAGATTGGATCTGGATCTTTTGTCCCCCTCATCCATGCTTCCATGTCCCTCACATGTGATGTTTATGTCCCTTCAAAGCCTCTCACCAGCTCTTGCACGATTTTTCCTCACCTTAGCTCCACAAAAGACTTCATAAAAACCAGAAAAAGATCCCTCCAAAATCCTCCCTCAAGTTCATAAACCGAGTTCAAGCGAGAGAGGGAGAGAGGAGTAGATCCGAGCGGCACCTCTTCCATTTTTTTGATTTTAGTATTTCTTGTAGGAGTTAAGATGCTATCTTTGTAGCATGATTAGTAGATGATATTAAGTGTTTAATGATGTTTTATATGACATAGGTATTCAGTTTTTAAGTGATTATAAATATGCAAAATATTTAAGTTACCCCAACTTGAATGGATGTTGATTATATGTTGTTTGCTATTCAATTTTTAGCTATGCTATTAAAAATATAGAAATGTATGCTTCCTATGATTATTTCTTGAGTAAATGAGGAGTACATAGGAATAAGAATCAAGTCATTTGGCATAGTATAGCTCGAGTTATAGATTTTTTAAGTTAAGCATGCAAGCTGAATTTTATGTACCTGTTTCCAACAACTTTAAATGCGAATAACTCGAAATATATGCATGATAAAAATGTGAAATTTTTATGAGGACACTATATATGTGTTGAAAGCATGCATGTAAAATTTCATGATTTTAGGTTGAGAATGAATGAGTTAAAATATTTAGACCTCATGTATGTCTAGATGACTTTATATGAAAGAATACTCAGTCCACGTTCGAGCTTTTAACGTGAAACTTTTATGTGAAATTCTCACATGAGAGATGAACAATTTGACCAAGTTTCAGCTTAATATGTGGAGTATATGATTTTATAAAATTGTTTGAAGGCTATCATGTATATAGTATAATTTCGTGTTATGATTAGTACATGATTTGAATGGGCAGAATATATGTTTTGAATGTTTGATGTTTAAACACGATGCTATTGTCATTATTTGCCAAAGTGGTCTTACGCAAAGTTGTAGATTATGATGGTATATTTCCAATGGGTTTTGAATCAAATCGAAATGATGCTAGCTTATTATATCCTCGAATTACTGAGACCCTGTAAGTTAGATATTTCTGTTTTGGACTGCAGCCATGATTTGAATGTTTGCTGACAAATATATGATCAAATGACATTTTTTTCTATTGTTGTCTTCATGAAAGTTGTAGCTTTACTTCTTAGCTGTCTGTTAGTTTTTGAATCATGTCATTTGGGTGTCTATAGCATGAATTATACGATAATTACTGAGGCTCTGTATGAATAATATTTCAGTTTTCTGACTGCAACTCTGTTTTAAATGTTTGTTGAATTATCTCCTAATAAATGACCTTATCTGTTGTTTTCATAAGAGTTGTAGAGGCAGGTCTTAGGATTCATATGCAACTGGAATCATGTTTATATGACTTATATGCCGTATGTTGTGTTTATTTCAAAATCGCTGCGCGGGTTAAGTTTTGGAAAAAAAAAAAAAAAAACTCATGTTGTGCTTTCAAAAATAAAAATTTACTTGTCAATGCATGTTTATATGACTTATATTGGCTGAGTTGAACTAAGTGATGATGGTATAAATCTTAGATACCTTAAGTTAGTTAATCCTTGTGTCGGATAGTTATTGATAGGATCATAATTATTGTAGGTGTTTGGCGAGCCGTGTTCCCATCCTACCGGCTCTTGTGTACTATTTGCTTCATCGGTAACCAGGTGGATTTTATTTAAATTTCTATGCGATAAATTGATGCTATATGTACGGTATGATCAATGTATGCATGTGAACTATGTAGCCTTCGATGCGAGCTGTACCGGCCGTCGAACAGTTATCCCCGTAGCTATAGAACAGACCCCATTGGGGTAATCTTTTCTTTTCGCATGTAAGACCAGGGCATGGGTCCTCGCCCGACGATAGGCACCACGTTGTAAGACTAAGGCAAGGGTCTTGGCCGACGGGTGACCTTGATGTAAGACCAAGGCATGGGTCTTGGTCGTTGTGGATACCTACTGTTTGGGCATCGTTGTAAGACAAAGGCAAGGGCCATGACATTCGATACGTGTATCAGCAATAGTCTTGTTGTTGTATGGAATTAACAACGAGGAAATTAACAGCAGAGTATGTTTAAACAAAGTCAAATATGTAATCTTAATTTATTGATAATATCACAATAGTACATGAAGTCGGTTTTGTTGTTCTCAACCGAGATCATTTTAAGTCCTTGTACAACGTGTTAGGAAAGATCCTCGTACTATCATAAATTCTGCTATTTATAGTACAGTAGTTTTTGTCTTCTTGCTAGAGATGGATAAGAATGTATTTAATGTTGAGCAGCTTCATCAAAGTGATGTATTTTGGAATTGAGGAACATCAATGATTGCTCTATTATCTTGACGATCCAATCACATGCTTACAGCTCTGTCTTTTGCTTGGATATTCGAAATTTCAGACCGTCGATTTAAACAGATAAGGCTTGATTCGACTTATCATAATATTGTTTGAAATAAAGTCGGCTATTTGTATCTGTCTCAGTAGTCAGTACCTTTAACGATCTCGGAAGTCGGTAATTATTTCGGAAGTCGGTACCTTTCTGGAGGTTTATTATTTTATCGAATCAATTAATCACCAACTTTAATTCTTCAAAACCAAGTCGGTTATCAACAGAGGGGCCCCCGACATTAGTAGGTATTTGATCTTTTGTTGTTTCAATGGCTGCTGATGTCGTTTTTTTGTCTTTGTAATTCCGACTTGGTCATTTTCCGACTTTTCTTCATTTTGCAACCGACATGGAAGCACTTGTATTTTTTTAACTTCGTCTGCAATGGTTACATAACGTTTAGATTGACGTGGCAATTCTCAAAAGACGCGTCCGCATTTAATGGGTCCAACGGATAGAACTATTGAATGAGATGGCGTTTCAGGATTTGCCCACGTCTACTAATCATTACCGTAACGTTGTACTGTTTAATGACACGCCCGTTACATGCACCAATCTCTGGTTTTGCCAACGGTAATAAATCAAAACCTATAAATAGTTGTCGGTTTTGACTGCAAAGGGTTTCTTCACCTTTAATCTTCGAATCTTTGCTTTCATCTTTTCATTCATACTCCTTTGAATTGTTTTTCCTGTTCTCATTTCGTGCAGTCTGCGTAATTTCTCCATTTCTTCTTCAATTTAGTGCGCTTAAATCTTCGGTAAGGCTTTGCCCTAATTTTCTTTTTCGCATTCAACCCGCTTCAAACTTGTTTTTATTTTCCATTAATTTTAGAAAAATAAATTCTCGTGCCGAAGATAGCAGTAGCCGTACAATTTCTGAGGTTAGGATTTTTACCGATGAGGATTTGGAATTGCCTCTCGAGTATTACCGGTGGGATGTCCTTTTGGTTAAGAGTTTGAATCTTAATAAGGATATTGTAGAGGAGGATAAATTAGCTGAAGGGAATGCTATGTCGCTTCCCGATTATTGGAGACGTCCCCCGCGCCGGTGGCCTGAACCGATTGATGAATACAGAGGCGAACCGAGTATCTTAACAGACGCAGATATCGTTAATCTCCGGGGAGAGGTTTACATTCCTTCTTCGGTAAAGCTATTCGCTCCTTATCCAGAGGAAAGAATAACATGTCCTCCTCCTGGCTGTGTGGGCGTGTTTGCCGATTCGTTGAGGTCGGGACTAAGATTTCCACTTCCTGCTCTGATTACCGACTATTTAAGAGATTGGGGATTCGGCCTATGTCAGATAGCGCCGAATACTTGGAAAAGAATCATAAGCCTCATGGTGTTATTAAAGGAAAGAGATTGGGAGATGCCAACGACGGAAGAAATAAGAAGCCTCTTTACATTTAGACGATGCCGATCCCTTAATCTGTTATGCTTGTGCAGGAAGGCCTCAAAGTGGATTAAAAATCGGCGATTTAATCACTGAAGTCCCAGACTCTCTTCATGGGTTTCAAGAGGAATGGCTTTGGGTCGGCGGGGATTGGCAAACCCCAAATTTTTCTAAACCCTTAATTGATGGGATGTCAATTCCCATCAACATTAATTCTGCATTTTGTAAGTTTTTTCTTCTTATTTTCATACCGAGTTGTCCTAACTTTTCTTATTTTTTGTACTAACAGGTCAGCGATTTTACTGTTTGTAGCCAAAAGCAAAGGACTTAAACTCAGTGTGACCTTAAAAGAAAGAATTTCCGAGCTGTTCAAACTGAAGAAAGCACAGCGTAGCTTCAAGTTGATTCTAAAGGATACAAGATTGAAGGCTGCTGGTCTTTGTCCTGAAATTTCAGACGGTTCTTTCCAACCAGGTAAGCTTAAATTAAATTTTCAATCTTGTGTGAAGTCGGTTGCTTTTAAAAATTATCGTAACTCGGTTCTCTGATTACAGTTTACTATCCACTTCTCGGAGTTCTCGGGTTCAAAACTATTTGTGACGCCCAAGCCTTTTGCCAGAAGAGCCCGAACATAGATCTTCGAACTAAAGTTGGAAAGAGCAAAGAGCAACGTTTATCCGAGATGGGTCGCAAGAAGTTGGTTAAGGTTTTTTTGGATAATCCAATTATGAACCCAAAAGAGACCGATGTTGGTGAAGGTGCAACGTCAGTTACTGCTGCTGAAGTTCTGCAACCGAATCT